TTTTTTTTAAAATCTATATAATTTTAGCGTTGTTATAACTTGACTTTTTTTTTTTGTATAGAATAATAATGATAAGATATATAATTTCATAATCTTCGTGTATATGAATATTTTTTTAACGTAAATTTCTTATACATCAAGCAGATGAGTCTCCTCATTCATCCATCAATATCTCGTCAGATACTTCAAATGATTCCAAAAACTCTTCCGAACCATCCTCGTCCACTTCAAGTATGTATGTATTATTTTTATCTTTGATTAACATGTTTTGATTAAAAACAAAAAAAAACAAATCTTTGATTAACATGTATTCTTTGTGTCCATCCAAAAAGAATGTATTATATGGGATCATATTGTTTTCTCGCTTGCGTTTATGCTTATGTTTAGTTGTCTACATAAAAAATGATTGCGTTAATTTTCGTATATACTAATTTAACACACGTGAATTACAGAGAAGATTAATGACTATGACAAGAAGAAGAGAGTGGTGTATCCATTTGGACTAGTGAAACCAGGTGGTCGAGAAGAAGATGTAACCCTAAATGACATTAATAAGAGGATTCTCATGCCATCGGCTCGGCCGGTTCGGCATCCGGTTGGAGACTTTGCGTGCCGTCCGTCTGTCTCTGCACATGGACCGGGGTTATCAGGCAAAGCCGTGGTTGCGTTCACGAAGATACAAACATTAGGGAGGGGTACAATTACCATTATAAGAACTAAGGGGTGAGATATATATTATTGATAATTATACAGGATCTTTACAATGTGTACTCGAGATGTTGAGACAAGGTTAATCATTGGCTGACATGTTTAAACCTATTGTTGTATATAATGAAAAAGATGGTTATGTTTTTGTCTTTCCATTTCCATTAATTAGCTTTTGAATTATTTAAATACTTTTTTTCTACAAAGAACCAAGAGTCAGTTTAGAAAAACCAATAGTTATTTTTTGTTTGTTTGTTCGAAACCAATAGTTATTTAGAAACGTTATTTAATGAAACCAAATTTCGTATATTTCGATAGAAATACCATTTAAAACAAAAAAACTCTTCC